AAAAAAAAAAAAAAAGTGTAATCCCACAAGTGGGGTTTGGGAAGGGTATTGTGTACCTAAACCTTACCCCTAGCTAGAAAGCAGAGAGGATGTTTCTGATAGACCCTTGGCGATAAAAAGAAAGTAGTAGTAGCAAGCAGTAACAACAATAAGATAATAAAAAAAACAAAGTGAAAGGAACAACATGTAGTAGTAGTAGAAATCTACCAATAATAGAATATGAGACTAACACTGATACTGCTGGTATAGGAAGAGACACTCTGGACTACCTACTAGCCTTCTAGACCTCCATACTTCCCTGTCAAGGCAGCCTATAGTTGTTAGAAAGATTACCAATATCCCTTAGCTTCTTACACAGAAGTGAGATTTCAAACATTTAACTACCAAAATGACTATCTCAATTTCTTGACAAACAACAATTGGCAAAAATCAGAGGTAAAAAAATTCTAAAATCACCAAAATCAACTTAAAGTTATAGCAACATTAAGTTTACTATCCAGCCTCCTCTAATTACAGGCTTCTCTTCTCTTCTCCTAGTATCTTAACTTGGTTTGAAAGGTGACAGCAAAACGCATAATTGCCGAAATAGAAGTAGTAATGAGTAATGACTTAACTTCATTAAATAATCAAACTATGATAAAGGAAATAGGATTATAACTATAATTGCAATATGCTCTTTACCTGACATGGCAGGAGAGCAGTACCTGAATCTTGGCCATTTTGAGAGATAATAGTTCCGAGTCTCGGCCTTAATGTTAACTCTTTAGGCTAGAACTTAAAACTAGAAATGGGTTTATCAGAATGACCCATTAATAAAATTGTTTCAGCCCAACCCATTATTTGCTGGGCTAGTTGGGTGGGTTAGTTGGGCTTGGGCTCAAAATGCCACCCGTAACTATGAGAGAGAAGGCCCATGTCTAGGCCTTAATGGGGCGAAGTGCAGCAATATCCACTTTTAAACCCATTATTTAAAATATATTTATAATATATTTAAAGATTAGCTAATTTACCTAAACTTCAGGACTTAGTTTCAGTGACGGACCCAAAATTTTTCATAAGCAGGGTCAAAAACTATTGTAAAGTCATGATACAACCATATAGTAAAGTCGATACCGTGCATCATTTTTAAGCTTTTTCTCTTCTTTTTTAAGCACTTGGAAAAAGGGATATTAATGTTGATGTCATCATTTAAGAAAAGAGAAATATAAATTATTAAATTTAAATTTTAACAAAAAAAGTACATTTTGATAAATTTTACTTTCAAGCATATGCTCTTAAATTATTTTTTCTTTAAATTTGTTAAACTCTAACATACTTCAACAAAATCTAACAATTTCTTAGAAAAATAAAGCAAATTCTACACATATAAATTATAAACTAATAAAGTAACCAAAAAGAAAAGAGAACTATAATGTAAACAAAACTAACAAAGTGTACTAGAAGGAAGAAAGTTGTATGGTAATCAAATAATTTTAATATAGCAAAAACTAATTAAATATAAACGAAGTCAAAATATTCTAAACATGACAAATGTGTGTCAACAAAATTCTGCCACAGGACAAAATCAACAAACTCTTATGAAATATATATCATATTATCGGATTAGTAATCTAAATACGTGGGCTTATTTTTGTATTTGCTCAAACAAAAAGAAATCAAACTTCACAGAGTGCCTTAGGATAACTTTTTTTTTTCAAAAAGAGGACAATCGAGCCAGCACGAACTCGATCTCGGAACTTCTTGAACTGTTTGAACACATTAGACCATTGCTTCACAGCATTCCTATTTGTCAAGTGGGTTCATGTGCAATAATATAATAGAAACTTGTCTTTTTTCAATATAATTTATACATATAAACAGTATTTTTTTCGCAAAGCGGATTCAGTTGAACCCACTAGCTTCGACGTGGGTCCGCCCCTGCTTAGTATCCTTAATTTTTGAGCTGCTAATTTAAAATTCAGAACTAACTGTCCTGAATTTCTGAACTACTTTTAAAATTAGGGTTTTTACACAAATAGCCAGCCATATTAATTATTTACTTTTCTTAGCCATATACATATATTATACATTAATTATACAAATTTTAATACATATATTATGCATATATTATACATTCACTGGCTATTTTTAGTTAAGTGATAGGGTGGACGGTTATTTGGGCTAATTCTTCTTTAAAGTTCAGGACATAAGATTTCAACTTTTGGACACAATTTTCGAACTTTGGTACACGATATCCTAAAGTTTGAGCTTTGAGGTTTAAATTCTAGAACGTTGTGCCCTGAAGTTTGAGCGAAATTGATTAATCTTTAAATACATTAGATATTGTGATTATATTTTAAATAATATGCTTAAATATGGCAACTTGGTGTCGTTTCCACCCTTAATGTTAACTCCTTGGGCTGCTTCCTGAATATTTGGGTTTGGGTTTTAAACAATTATTCAGTAAAAATAGTACGGTATAACCAGTTTTCGGACTGGTCATTCAAAAATAGCCAGAGTTTACGAAGTCAATGAAAAATAGCCACTATTTTGCTGCAACAGAGACCGGTCCAGCATAATATACTGGAGTTCGGTGCACCTGTGTATGAACTCCAGCATATTATGCTGGACCGGTATACTTTGTTGACTCCAGTGTAATATACTGGAGACTGGAGCACCGGTGCTCCAAACTCCAGTATATTATACTGGACAATTATACTTGCTGGAACTCCAGTATATTATGCTGGAGTTCTAGTGTACTTATGCTGGAACTCCATCATATTATGCTGGAGTTCCAGCATACTTATCTTGGAACTCCAGTATAATATGCTGGAGTTCAAGCATACTTATGCTGGAACTCAAGTATAATATACTGGCGTATTTTCCGGAGTTTGAACAATGTTTTCGTTCAGATTTATCTTTACATGAAAAGTGGCTAAATTTTTATTATTTTTGAAACTGTGCTATTTTTGAACGACCAGTTGTAAATTTGGCTATTTTTGAATTTCTCCCTCACATTCGTGCTCTATAAAAGAAAAAGCCCATACTTCTGGAGAGGGAAAATTAGTGGAAATGACACGAGATAGCCACTTTTTAGCATTACCGTTTAAAATATATCCACATTAATTTGACCAAATATTAAACTTTAATGCACAACTTATAATAAAAATATATTACATTAGTATATACTTTCATAATTAAAATTTTCATTTAAGTCCATTAAAATATATGCTTGTATATTTTTATTCCATTACACAAAAGGATCTTTCATGCATAATGTCTAATATTTAAAGATCTGTACATACAACCTTTTCCATTTGATAAGGTATAGATTTAATGATCCGAACATATCTTTTTTAGACTTTTTCTATCAATATTTAAATTTTTTATTTTTTAGTAGCTTATAGCTTAAAAATGTGTGCATTAGAGTTTAAATTTTTGTTCATTTATTTATGAATTTATTAATAATGTAGTTAATTTTTTAATAATCAATTAGTGAACATGCTTATATTTTGAGATTTTAAATTAAAATTATCTTTTTATCTTTTATGTAACACTAAAAAGAAATAAAAGGTTAATTTTTGGATAATTTTTATCTATAACAGCCAAAAGATATTTGAATGATGAATGATGTTATATGTGTATAACAACCATTCACATAAAAGCCAAAAAATATGGAAACTAACGATATTGTTATAAAGAGGCTTGACTGTGCTTTATTCTTCTTCTTTTTTGTTGTTTTTTTTAGGAATTTTACACGGCATATAACCTATTTAAGATTATTCTCACAAATAGTATCGCATTAACCTCTTTGGTTTTTTAAAAGAGGAGTCATAACTCATAACTCCACCTTGATGTTGTTAATTGATATGTTTATTTGATTCACATCTTAATTTAGGTTTCTTAAATCAAATGAGCCAAATATGAAGTTTCTTCTACATTGTTTCTTTGCACTTTTTTCCTCCTTTTTATGAGGACTAATGACCTTCAGCTCTAAATACCACAATCATGTATACAGAGTCAAATTAATTTCTTTTTCTTTATATATAATTGTTGTTGAAATTCGAATCAAATTATTGCCGAATAGATCAACTTGCATATATTGTTCCAAATAGGATTAAATTAATTTTCGCTAGTTTTAAAAATATATAGCTACTTGTATTCCACGTGATTAATTGGACATACAAATTGATAATTACTCCCTCAGTTCACTTTCAATTGTTCACTTTTGACTTTATACGCCTCATAATTGTTTGACTAAAAGATATTGGAATCTTTTTGAATAAATTAATCAAAGAAAGTGAAGGGGTAAATCTTAGTTAGACATAATAAATTCTAGATCAATGAGCTAATCAAAAGAATAATATATGAGATGAATAGAGACAATCAATCTTATTGAAATTCTTCATTGGGGCTCCAATGAATCAATGGGAGAGACAGTTGTACATGTTTTTTCTCCTGGAGATTACTTCTTTCTTCTTCTTCTTCATAGTGAAGATTACAAGGAGAGAGCTTAGGAGAGAGGATGGAGAGTAGCCCCCCTTAATCGAAGGTTTTTCCACTATATATATAGTCAAAGAACCTTTGCAATTTACTTGGTCCGACGCTTTCTCACACCAAGCATGCCTTGGTCGTCCTCTAGACATTGTTGCTTTTGATTCGACGGGTATCGAGAGTGTCGGATGTGGAGTAGACCATGTCATCTTTTGCTGCCTTGCCGCCTGGGCGGGACGTTAGTTAGCTTGACCGAGACGGTCAGATTTTGACCAATATAGTTAGTCCCTCCGTCTGTCGGGGTCGTCCCCTGTCGGTCCAGACAGACGGATCATGATTGCTATGAATTTGAGAGAAATCTGACTTCTCGTTCCTCAGTTATGCTATTTAGGTTTCAAATGAGATGGCGACATTCTTTCGATATCCTTAGATCATTGCGGCTGTTTCGGAACCGAAACGTCGTTTGGTATTAAAACGTCTTTTCGTGGTTGCTGCCATTATGCCACACGTTACTAGGGAACTAAAACGTTCATGCCCTATCAAATTCGATTGGTGACTCTTGGATTTCATGCTTGGGGGGATTTATGTCTCTTATAAATAGGAGGATCATTCGACTGATACACTTCTCTACTTTGTGTTTGAAAGAATTTTGTGAATATACTTTCTTCCTGATACTCCGAATTTTCATTCGCCCCCATTTAACTGAAAATTTTCATCCTTCCTTTCCATTGTCTTTTTGCCACACCATCTTGGCGAAATGGTCGGTGATTCTTCTCGCACTGATCTCCCTGTCACAATTCTGGCGCCATAGAATGTTGCTCTGACCACGGGAGGAGTGGAAGTGGTGGAAGATGAAGAATTTCCATCAGTAGTTGAGATCTTGCCTCGTCCTGGGAGAGAATTGAACGATTTCAGCGGTCGCACCGGGGTGGAGCCGGAACCTGTCCCTTCTATTATGAAAGAAGAAGACATTGCAGAGTTGAAAGCTAGGTGGGGGCTCCCCGGTTATGCTGACATGCGACCGGCAATAGGGAACGACATAGTTCATTTTGACCGTCCTGGGTACTGCGTGCTTTATGCCTACCCCTTTCTTATTGGATACACACTTCCTCTCCCTCTCCTAGTGGTAGATTTCTACCGTTTTTATGAGTTATGCCCCACCCAATTTTCGTCGTACCTGTACAAGATGTTCCTTATGTTGCTCAAGTTTGCGAAACTCGCCAACCGCGAGATCACTTTGGATCAC